GGAGCTTGCCCACGTCCATATTTTTCGTTATCAAGTTACGTGAGAATTCCCAAAGCTTTATTTCCACCCTGATCTCTTTGTTACATATCAGGAGCGGCTCCCCAACCATACTTTTCTCACCTGGGTCAAAATTCAGCTTACCCAAGACTGATTGTCATTCTTCTGTCCCCTGCTACCTCCTAACCCAGCTCTTCCCAGATTTGCCAACGGCTAGCCTCGCTCTCTGGTTTCACGCCACAGGTAGTAAGCAGGATTGGGAGCAGCAGTTCAACCAGCCACTGAGTCCTGTCATTGTCTCTGCTGCCGCCTGCTGTCCCCTGGCCACCACCCTGGTTTGGACATGATCACCCCACACCTGGATGATTGCAGCCATCTCTTGAATGGACTTCCTCACTCCTTCCCCCACCTGCTCAATAACCCAACACACCATCAGCAAATGCATTTGCCTAGAATGCTGTTTTCCATAGATTGCTGTCTACCACATTCAAATTCTTCAAACGTTCTCAAGTGACCGGGGACTATTTGGGCTCCTTCACCTGGCGAGCATGATCGCCACAACCTAAATGTGAACCCAGCCCTGCCACACTTTTCTTCCACTACACTTGGATACAGAGTGGGCTGACCACTCACAAGCTTTCACTGTGCCTTCTTCTGCAAAATGTGTCATAAATATTAACCATAAATATTGGTCGAATGGATTGCTGCCTCTCAGCTCCTTCTCAAACCATTCTTGGCAACTGAAATGTCCTAGTCCTCCTTTCTGAGCTTTACTCATTTCGGGTCTTGCTATTTCCTCAGTAACAGCAACAACTGCTCTCATTTATCAAGCTCTTGCTACAGGCCAGGCATTAGACTAAGCACTCTGCGAGCGCTTGGCTCATTTAATCCTTAAATCCTATATTGGTAGAACTATCAAGGTCCCCATTTTACGGATGAAGAAACTGAGGCATGAGTAAATTAAATAAAACACCCCAGGTCACATGGTAAAATAGTTAAGTCTGTTGCCAAAGTCTGGACTCCTAATCTTTATACCATACTGCCGCTTTTCTTGTCTCCTCCAGAGATGCATCTTTCTCCTGACTGCCCTGCTTGTCTCCATTGTGTGCATGCTTCTGCAGTGCCCTTGTGAGTGTTGTAGCATCGCATAGTCATCAGGCATGACTCTTAAGCCAGACTGCCAACTATAGTAGTTGCCGGCGTTGTGTGCCTTGGGCAACTTACTTACAACTGTGTGTCCCTTCATCCATAAAACAGCCACCATAATAGCACCCGACGTATAGGTTATTGGAACAACTAACTGAGCTAACAACTTCGGTAAAGCACTGAGCAGCATGGCACGTGATAAACACTCAGCAAATATTACCAGTTATTATTAAGATTCCCAATGCCTGTGTGTTGCCTCCTATTAAGAGTGTAAGCTAACTTGGGCACCTGTGTGGCTCAGTTGTTTAAGCGTCTGCCTTTGGCTCGGGTCATGATCCTAGGGTCCTGGGATTGAGCCCTGCATCGGGCCCCCTGCTCAGCGGGAAGCCTGCCTCTGCCTCTCCCCCAGCTCATGCTCTCTCTCTCTCTCTCTCAAATAAATACATAACATCTTTAAGGAAAAAAAAAAGGAGTGCAAGCTAACTAAAGGAAAAGATTCTCTGCCTTGGTAATTCCATAGCACTTAGCAAGTCTACCCAGAACAGATGCTTCCACCAAACTGTGCCTTTGAAGGTTTCACTTGGGGGATGATTTTTAGGAAATAGGCAAGATGTCAGTTATTGAACCTTCAGGACTGGAATCATGCAATATGAGTTGAAATGCCGAGTGCGTAAGTAACTTGTGAATTCATAGCATACCCAAAGCCCATGCAGATGTTTTGGTCATCAAGCCTTCCTGTAGTATCTACTATATGCCGAAACTCATGGGCACCGGGGACATGGAAGTAAGCTGAGAGAGCCCCTCCTAGCGCTCTCTATACAGGACACAAACATGACATGGAGGAGCCATACTAGCTTGAACTATATTGAGAGATGTCAGTGGGGAGGGGAGAGGATTCTAGGGGCACGTTTTATGATTTAAAAACAACCCTGATTTATTGTCTATCCATACATAGATCAATCCAGAAAGTGGCGGGTCATGCAAAGGATAATTAGTATTTCGGCCTTCCCTTTTTTTCTGGGGATTGGGACACGTGTGTTAAAGTGACATGGAATAAAATGGATGGCCCCCATAATCATTTGGCACTAGAAGAGCACATCCTGTTTACCTAAAACATCTAATCTGGTTTTGAAAATTCGGCAAGGAACAGCAAGCCAGTGTATCTGCAGAGAAGTCGGGGGAGTGGCATTGCCATTGTTGGGGAGCTGGAAAACTCTGCATTCTCACATGCAGGTGTGAGATGGGTCTGCTCCTGTCACAGGCAGCAGAAGCCAGAATCCTAACACACGTTGCTCATGTGCTCACAGCTGCTGGCACTCCCGACCCCGACTTCCCAGGCACATGAACAAGGATTGCTTCTGCAATTGATATGAGTTGATATGAGGCTAATATGAGTTGAAGGCTTGATGACCAAAACATCTCAATCCCATTAGCCACTTCCTCCCTTCCATTTAGGACTCAGTGGTTCGCAACCCTAGCTATATAAAAGAGTCACTTCAGAGAATAAAAAAAAAATATATGCCATGCCCAGAGATTCTGATTTAGTTGCTCCAGGGATGTGTCTAGGCATTGTTTTTTGTTGTTGTTGTTGTTAATTTCTGGGGTGATACTAATGGACAGCAAGTGTTGGAATCTGCAAAAAATCTGGTCCGGGCAACAGCTTCATCTATCTATAGAATTCCAGCAAAACTGGGAATCCATGTTGCTACAAAGCTGACAGGATCCAGCCAATCATGTTAATTCTCTATTCCTCATGCCTCCTAGCCTCACATTACTGCCCCAAAATGGGGTAGGAAAGCCAGAGACCTGGGTTTTTTTCTTATCTTGGTGCCCCCAAAAGATCCATTGTGTGATGCTGGGCAAACCACTTGATCTCTGAACCTTCCATTTTTTGTGTTCCATAAAATGAGATAAGACATCTGCTTCCCCTGTGATGGGGTGAAAGAAGAGGCAGTCTCTGCCAGGGCTACTGCCATGCAGTACAGTGAAGTGATTAATTGGATTAACCACGACTGGGAGAGGGATCCAGGCAAGCAAATTCAACAGGATGCTCAAGAAGCACTACAGAATATCCAAAATCAGCAGGGCCAAGTGGCCTTCTAGTTTAGGATAGAGAAAACTTGGAAAGGCCAAGGAAATACAACTGAAAGTATTTTGTAATTATTCTTGGATTTGACAGTGCCTGTTGGTAACTTCCTTCCAAACCGTCTCTCCATGACCTATACCAACTTGTTCATAGTGATTTTTTCTTCTTCATTTGTCTCATAACATTTGTCTCATAACATTCTCAAAAATGAAAGGTCACTCTTTTACAGAAGGCTAAAAGAGGTAGAAAGTGAACTTATCTGTTAAAAAAAATTTATCATCCATGAAATAAAAAAGGAATCTCTCCCACCCTCATCCTATCTTCCCTGGACCAACCACTTAATCTAACTAGCTTCTAGTTAGCTAGCTAGCTATCCATTCATCCATCTATCTAATTCATTTTCCATTCCTTTCCGTTCCTTTCCTTTCCTTTTTCTTTCCTTTCCTTTTCTTTCCTCTCCTCTCCTCTCCTCTCATTTCTCTTCTCCTCCCTTCCCCTACCCTCCTCTTCCCTTCCTTTCCTTTCTTTTTCTTCTTTCATTTCCAAAACAAGGCTGCCTTTGATGGCCTTCGAGAGAGGACCAAACCTCCAGTTGGGAAATCTAGAGTTTAATCCGTGGGGAACTATTATTAATATTACTTGCCAAAGCCAAAATCAACATAAAAGTAATAATGATAAAAATGAGTAAAACTCTTTCAGACTTTTCTAAGTGCTAAAAGAGCTGTTCACATCCCCATGTGTCATTTTATCTTTTAGTGCGAGAAGGTGCTGTTAAAGATGGGTAAAGGAATCTGACAATGAGAATTTACTGTACTCTGTGCCCTGGCTTATCCTGAGAGCTGAGAAGACAGAAATAATTGATAAGATGCACAGCACACTATTGATGGGATAATTGGGGGGAGGAGAAGAAAAGAGTGGGTACTGGAGAGTGTGAGATATTCTATGACAGTGGGAATATATTCCTGTGCTACTGGTATAATTGAGAAATGAAAGACCAAAAACCTGAACCCTTTATGAAAGGAAAACCTGAGTGCCAGCTAAGTGGCATGGTCTGGCTTTCTAAAAAGCATAAGAAAACATGGCTTAAGCAAGCCACACTTCAGAGAGCCTTTCCTCCTTCTAGAATGCTCAAGACAAGTCTGCCCAGCTCCTAAAGCCAGCACTTTTCTTGACTTGCTTCCTAGCCCTGACCGTAAACCCTTCCCCTCGGTCATGGGTGAGAGGTGACAACTGAACATTTTGGAGATCACCCCTTGCACCGGTGACTGCCTGGGAGCTGAGAGAGTGCGCGGTGTAGCCTCTTGCTTCGTCAACACAACCGCAACATGGCTGCCTGGCCATGGAAACACTCACAGCAGCATTCACGAATCCTCTGGTCTTTATGGTATTTTCTGGCTCAGGGATGGGAAAATTCATTGAGAAAGAAAAGAAAAGAAAAACAAAGAAAAGAAAAGAAAAAAACAAAAGAAAGAAAGAAAGGAGAAAAAAGGAAAGCTCTCTTTATTATAGAGAAAACCCTTAAAAGATGCCAAGTGGTTGCATGATACTCAGTCTCCCTAAAGACAATCTCATCAACTTGACCAACAGCCTGCACAATGCTCTTGACCAAATGTACTTTACGCTGGAAACATACATATCGCAGCCACACAAAAGAAAATCAGGCAAAGGATCAAAACTGGGCATTGCCTTAAAAGGAGTATTGAACTGACTGAGGTGCCCCTGAGGTCTTCCTACAGAGGGAGGTGAACCACAGCAGGAGAAGACATGTTACCTGTCCAGCACCGCAGTCCCCAGGCTGCCTTCTGCTCTGATCAGACGCCTAAAACCATCCAGGTTTCCACTAGGAGGCCATTTGCCCCGCGGTCTCCAAGAAAACCTACACCCGATGAAGACAAAGCCAAGCAGGATTCATTGTGAGGGCTCAGGCAGGACTGGCAGCTCCGTGCCAAGCTCAGCCTCACCCCTGTCCCGCGCCTCCCCTGCTGTGGTCCTCCGAGCCTCACAGCGCCAACCGTGAGAGGCTTGCTTCTGTTTGAAAAACAAGAAGTGATTTCCTGCTCCTCTTCCCCGGATGGCGTGTGCGATTTCCCTTACGCCCATGGGAAGTCCTTCAGATCCTCCTTATCTAGAAACCTCTCCATTGAGTGGCCAGACTTGTTTGGTCAATGCTCCTGGTCCTTGCTTTTCTTTCACCAAAGAAAAAATCAGGAAAATGAAACCAAAGCAAACCCCAAATGGGTTAGAGCTAAGGAGTGGTGTAGGATGCCTTGTTTAAACCTTCGAAAGATGTTCGCTAAATTAGATTGTGTTTTCATAGTGGAAGGAAAACAATGATGAGTCCTCATCTCTGGCAGTGTCAAGAAGTCAGAGAATTAAAAAAAAAAAAAAATTCCCCCAAGTATGAGAAGACCTAAAGCTGTCATTAGCCCTTGCCCTGGGCTTTAGAGAGAGCTGCACTTCAAATCTGCCACATGAAGGGGACAGCTGGTTCTCTCAGATTTCTAGGAAAACCCTATGGATATTTATGCCTCAAATGCTGTGATGCTTAAAATATCATCTTGATAACAACACTAATAATATTTAAAGATAAGAAGATACATGGAAAAGGGCCAGTTGGCAAGCTGCAGTCAGGTTGCTGGGTTTAAAGATGAATTATAATCAGAGTTTTTGAGCTGGAAGTGACCTACCTACCCATCCTCGTTTTACAAGTCAGGAAACTGGGACCCAAGGAGAAACAGTGACTTGCCCAAGGTCAGAACACAGATGAGAAGGAATAGATTATCATTCACTGGTTCTTACATGTTAGTGTGGGCAATGATCAGTTTCCTACTCTGGACCTCGTCCCCACAGAGAGGTTAATGAATGAGGCCTGGAGCCCAGGAATCTGCACTGTGAGTAAGTGCTCCAGGTGAGTCTGATGCAGGCAATCCCCAGACCGTATTTAGAGAAACCCTTATAATATCAGAGCAAGGACTCCAGCGTCAGACTGTAGGGATTCAAACTGTAGTCCCACGGGGTTTTTATTTATGTAGCCTTTTACACATTACAATGCTTCCCTGAGACTTGGTTTTATTATGTGTGAAAGTGGATTACAGTCCTGCTGAGTTTACAGGTTCCAGTGTGAGCGTGCATAGAGAAGGAGCTCAAGAACTGTTTGTGACTCTCTGGGGTCCTGGGCTCTAATCCTACAAGCTCATACTCTTGTCCTTTTCCACACCAACTCTCCTTTTCGCCCACCTTCCCATCCGGTCAAAGCTATCACCCTTAGGCATGTTGACAACTGCCAGTGGTACTCAGGCTTGTGACAGAAGTTAAGAATTTTGACAAAAAGGAGGGTGAAACTTTACAATATCATTCTAACTTCTCGGTGCTGATTCTCAACTGTACTCTCTAGTCCATTCCATGTCGTGGTTAGGACTTGGTTGGACAGTTAGGCAGTCAGGGCCAGGGTCTCCAACAAGAAAATATGGAGTCAGGACAGCTAAAATAAAACAGCACTGACATCCTGTTTTGCAGCTTAGACAGGACCACACTAGCATTCTGTTCTGCAGCCTTTGCAGAAATGACTTCTGCAAAACGGCCTAAAATAAGACAGTTAACCACAAGGCATTTGTCAATATCACGGGCCAGGGGCAGTTAAGACCTAAGCCCCCCAGATGTCAGCAAAAAAAGGCCATCAGCACGTGGACATGAACCTAAGAGGTAGACAGATACATGGCCAAAGCCCTGATTGGCATGACTCAGCACACCCTGATTGCTTAAGATAGTTCTGCAAAAGAGCTCATAAAAACTCCTAAACTAAAAACTCCAGGGGCAATCCTCTTGGGCCCCCCTCCTTCTCCGGGAGCTTTATACTCTTGCTCAATAGACTCTGCTTTGCTGCCCACCACTCTTCGTCTGGTCTACCTCTTCATTCTTCAAAGCGGTGTGACCAAGACCCATGGGCATCGAAGGCAGAGAAATCCTGCAACATCATCACTGGGAGATGTGGTATTTGCCCACCCAGCTGACTCTCCACTTCTCCTTGCTGCCAGCCCGAGTCTGGCTGGGGAACTCAGGGAAGGCAACTTGCTCCCTAGGGCCTGAGCTAATCGTGATTGGTCTAAAGCACGCTGATCTCATTCTCCTTGCTGGGCGGCAGGGCGTGCTTGGACGTGAGGCTGGTTGTGGATGCACATTACCTCTGGATTTACCATTAGAGGCACAGTAAAAGTCCTTATTATGTAAACCAGTTCCAGTTGGGGTTTCTGTTATTTGTAGCTAAAAGCTAAAAATAGTAACGTGGTGAATCACCATGAAGAATAAATCTTTTGAGTCTATATAAAATACTACTCTTGGCCTAAGAAAGTATCAGGCAGAGCATTAAAACACATACACACAGAGCCAGATGGCTTAAATCATATTCTAAAATATTCCAAAATAATTTCCCGTGCTAGATATTTGAGGTATTAAGTTTTTCTATAGGAAATGGACAAAGATATCCCAGATTCTCTCTTACATTAAGAATCTATAATATGAAATATAAGTAGTGGAAAAGCACCTACGTCTCGAAAACCCTGAGGAGCCTGGGGTTGAGAGTATGGACTCCAGATCTGCCCACCAGTAGCTCCGTGGAACTTGAACAGGTTATTTCATCTTTCTGTGCCTCAGTTTCCTCATCTGTAAAATCAGAGTAATAATAGTACCTACCTCAGTGTTGCCGTGAAGATTAAAATGCTTGTAACAATATAGGGAGCAGGTCTAAGTGTTGGCTATTGTTAACTCTGTGGAAAGAAAATTTTTGCGGTAATAATACAGCTGCCTGTGTGGATTTGGCAGTGTCTTCGCCTTTGCTTTCTGCCAGGTCTGCCTCTAGTTCAGCCGAGATTGGCCCTTGGAAGATGCCTTTGAAATATATCTTGTCTTTGTCATGAGATTGGTTCTTTTGGGAGTAACTTGAGTGGATTAGGATAAACGTAGATAAATGACACCAGCTGTGTTGGGGAGGAATGAAGAAAAACCAGGAGGACACTGGACATTAATGTGGTAGTAAAAGACACTAAAAGAATTTTGCCGGCTGACCGCTTTGGAAAGTAATTGTAGGATAGAACTAAACGCCAGGGGGCCAGTGAGCTCACTCCAGGATAAAGGGAAATTTGCAGACCTTGGTACTTACAAAAAGAGTAACAATGGCTGGGAGCTGGACTTGGATATTTACAAAAATAACAATGGCGGGGAGCTTGATATCCAAGTCTTTTTGTTACTCTTTTTGTAAATACCAAGGTCTTACCTGAAGAAACACCCCGTGGTCAGAGTGAGCTCCGCGAGTAAATGCTTCTTTTAAAATGCTCTGCTCTAAGATTTCCTGCGTGGGTTGGGTTGTGGGTGGGCTGTGGGCGCCGTTGTCTCTCTGACACGGAACGGGGCATTGTCAAGGTGGCTGTCCCTTCGCTTCCCTGAAGAGCAATTCCTCTCTCACCCACAGTCCTGTTTGTTGCTAGGAACACTCTGTGCTTGTCCCACTCACTTTACAATGAAAACAAAGACAAATAAAAAATGGAACCACCATATGGTCTCGGCTGCAAACCAGAATTAGCTGCTGATGGGGAGACTTTGCCCTATCGTGGCTAAGGCTTCCAGTGGCTATGACAGAGGCCCTTCTCCTGGATTCTAAGATGTTGGAGTCGGTGGCAGGTCAAACCCAAGCTTCTCCAAACAGACTGCGGTGGTGCATTCAGAGTAACTAATTCACCAGTCATGTTATATGTGTTTACAGGCACGACGTGTCTCTTAGGACTTGAGGGTATCACCTCATTCCGTACAGAGCTGTTTTCTCAGGCAGAAATGTTGGCACCAAATTAACACATATTTCCAGCATGCTCCAGGCTGTTTCACTGCCCAGCCCTTCCCTCTTGCTCACCTAGGTAACTTTTAGTCTCCTTCTAAGTTATAGGTGTTATTTCATCCAAGGACCCTCCTATCCCTCCCAGCCTGGGACAAGTTCCTTCTCCCTGGACCCATAATTCCAGGTCTATGTCTTTTTGCAGTTACCACACTGCATCCAAATGATTATCTTAATGAATTCAGGGTAAGCAGCTTGAGGGCAGGAACTAGTCTTATTTATTATATGCTAGCAACTAGTAACTGCTGGCATAGAGAAGGTGATCAATAAAAGCAAAAAGAAAATGAAACTGCTCCATCTCATCCATTGCTGGTTTCCCCTCTTAACACTGGCGTGGTCCAACTCTTCTTTGTTGATACTAATTTCTCAGGTGAGCTCCAGCCTGGTTTCAATCTTTGTGCTGATAACTTCCAAATGCACTCCTCTATCATGGACCTCTCTCCTGAATTCCTGACCCGTATATCCAGCTGCCTACTTGACATTTCCACTTGGATATTCAGTAGGATCTCAAACTGAATGTAACCAAAACTAAAATCATGATCTGCCCTCCCAAACTAGCTCTTCCAACCATCTCTCCCATCTTAGTAAAGGGCATGGCCATCCTTCCAGGTTGCCCAGACCACAACTCAAAGAGTCATCCTTGAGCTCTCCCTCGCACACTCTATAATTTGTCATCAAATCCTGTCATCTCTACCTTCCAAATATATGCACGATTGGGCATTTCTTACGCCTTCCACTACTATTATTCTCATCAAGCCATCATTATCTCTTGGCTGCATTATTATCGTGGCCTCTAACTGGTCTCTGTGCCAGACTACAGCTAGAATGGTCCTCATAAAAAGTACGCTGTGATGTCCACCTATACTCAGCCCTCCTGTGCTCCCACCTCACACAGTCAAAGTTCAAGGGCCGTCAGTGTTCTGCAACGCCTACACCCCCAGGCACCTCTGCTCCTCCCACTGTTTCTTCCTTCGATTCCTCTTCTACTTCTCTCCCGCTTTGCTCACATTGCTCCAGCCATGCTGGCCTCCTTGCAAGCCCGGCACAATTCCATCTCAGAGTCTTTGCACTGCCTGGAATACTCTTTGCCCAGATATCCTTGTGCCTGCCTCCCTCACCTCATTCCCAACTTTGTCCAAACAATGCTTTCTTGGTG